GCCAGTTTAACACTGGACTAGTCTTTTACAAAGATTTCACTTTGGCTATAATTTAAACTTTAAATTATTTTTGATATACATAAGTCAATCTATACACCTATACATATATAAATAAAATTGAAGTGTCTGTTTGTAATGTCAAAATAACAGCGTTTTACTAAATGCATATGGAATTATATACGGTACTTATAAGAAAAACACAATTTAAAAAAATCTGTGTGTCTATCTGTCTGTTTGTTGTGGTTAATCATTTTCCGAACTGTAAAAGGTGTAACTAGTGGGCACAAACGGGATACAGTCATTATCAGTTGTCTCAACTGCCTGATAAAATATATTAATAAATAATAATCTCCGAAACGGTTGGACCTATTTTGACGGAACTTTCACTGGCAGATAGTCGATATTATAAGAAGTAAGTTAAGCTACTTTTATTTTAGAAAGAGTATTAGGGTTCCGCTCAAAAAAAAAACTTAGGGACGAAACCGAGCGAAGCCAGGGTAAGTTGCTAGTTTGTTATATATTCAGTGCTAGGTCAGATACTTTGTTGCTAACTTAGTGATTAATCTCTTTATGCTCTATTTAGTTTTTAAGTCGTATCGACCTACAGGGGATATGAAAATACCGCCCTTTTTTATAACTTTAACGACGATTTAAATATCCATCTGGAATCGAACCCGCGATCTTCAACATAGTCCGTACTGCAAAACACTTAAGTTTTCTGTATTTGTACAGTGTACTTAAGACTTTAAGGACAGATAAAGGATGCCCAGATCGATCAGATTGTATTTATCGTCGAGATCGTCCGCTCCTCGAATAAATACGGATTATCCGGACTAAGATTCGTAGATGTGATAGCATTGTTATCGTTCTAGCGCCTCAAGATGAATTTTGATTTAGGCTATTGCAAAGAGATAAGATTCTTAGGTACTAAACTTTGAATACTATAATCTTTACTTTGTTTAGTTATTTTTTTTATATTATAACTAGGTACGTTTTAATGGTTAGTATGGATAAGATATTAGATAGACTATATATTACATTATCTATAGCCTTCCTCAATAAACGGGCTATCTAAAGCTAAAAGAATTTTTCAAATCGGATTAGTAGTCCCTGAGATTAGCGCGTTCAAACAAACAAACTCTGCCTCTTTATAATATTAGTATAGATTTGATATCAATACATTCTGTAGTAATAATGGATTTTCATGTTTAGTACACAGATAATGACCTAGGCATAGCTAATAGGCGGTTAGGGACGAGCAAAGCGAGGGAAATTCTCTAGTCATATATAAAGCTAAGTAGCTGATTACGCCTAACTTTAATAATAATACTAGCATTTCCCGCGGCTCCGCCCACGTTCAGATGACCAAAAACCAAATTCTTAGATTTTACATATTAGTCTACTCTTACATTGCAGTTTTTGTATTTTTTCTCAGAAATGAGATACTTTCCAGCGGTAAAAAGTATCCTATATTTTGACCCGGATAACCAGCTATCACTATACCAAATTTCATCAAAATCCCTCCAGTGGTTTTTCTGTAATGCGGTAACAGACAGACAGACAGACAAAAATTCTAAAAACTATAGATTCGGCCTTTGTATCGATAATAATGTCTATTTCAATAAGATTTTCCAAAAAATATTTAATGTACAGATTCGGCTTAGTTACAATTTTATTATATGTATAGATAAACTCATGGTTACCGCACCGAAGCTTTTCCGATACATCCGTTTCCTTGCGGTCAGCTGAACTGGGTCATAACTTTATATACGAGATGAATACAAAATTCCTGATCGCAATAAATGGGGAAGCTGAATGACTTTCAATATATAATAGATGATGAATGACTCGATAAATACATAAAGAAAGAAATATAAAGAATATTTTTATTGAGAGCAGAGTCTGTGTTTATGGTAGGTAGGTCGGTCTCCTCCCCTAACGTGCGTTCACCTTGTCGTGGTGGGGGGCTCAGTAGGGCCCGGCAATCCAACCGGACACGAAGCCAAGAAACGCACAGGGAGGTAGCCCACTTCGGTGGAAGGTGGCCCTCTTTGGTGGGCGGTGTACCATGCGGGTTGCTCCTGGTACTTCTCTGATAGCAGAGTGGACCTTGGAGCAACCCCGTGGTTGTTGTGGTCTGCTTCGGCAGACCTGCCGTCGGGGCGTCGTAGTTGAATGCGTAAGCGATCCTGCGACGCCCCATTAAGACGGGGGAATGTTTTGTTGGGTTTTAGTGGGTAGTACTGTCTTTATTACGCCGGTGAGTCCCATACATTGTGCGTAAATGCATTGCCCAACGTTAAAAAAAAAGGTAGGTCGGTCGTAGAACTAGCTTAGAAACTATTCAGACACTAAGGCACTATATACTCGTAATTTTTCATTTAATAAGTATAGATTACTATTACTTATTAGGTAAATTTGCCTTTATTTGATTGTGTATTTTACGAGATAATAAAAAGTGCACAAAAAATGCGATCAAAGTTATCCAGGAACGCACTTGAGCAAAACCAAGTCGGTTTACTAGTACATTAAAAATCATAGAATAACCGCAATGTGTTAACCTCTATTACTGTTACTGCAGGTTAAAGGGATGATCAATACATATAAATCAGAAGACCTACGTACGGTAGGACGTATTATTCTCGACAAAATTAGACCCGTGTTACCCAAACTGGGTTGACTCTGGACACAAGGGAAATACATAGCGATGAAAAATGTTTATTTCATACAAGTAAACGCTCTGTACATAAATCAACAGAAATGGTTCTAGTTAAATGGTACGAATATTTAATTAAACCATTTAAAATAATGGCTTTGCATAAACTTTAGACACAAGAATAATTAGAATACGATTTATTTCGCAACTGGGCTCTGTTCTGTGATGAACAACACACAATATTTTAGGTTTCTTTGTTAAACCTAAAAGGCTGGAATTTTTATTAGACTATTTAAAATAATATGGGTGAGAAAGGGTAATTCGGATAAAAAAAAACAGAACAGGGCAGGTTTGTTTGAATTGATAACCTGTCTTGTCTCGCTTAGGCATTTCAAGTACTCCATTTCGATCGATAAGTATATAAGTTACTTGTAAAACAATTATAAATAATAACACTAAAAATTAAACCAAAAAAGGAATAAACTGAAACAATAAAAAAGACATGTTAATTATCAACCTTCATTTTCTTCATAATTCTAATAAATCCTTTATTTAATAGTGATAGATCAGCAAAAACTTTTCTTAGTATGTAACAAGTTTTTTTTACATCGTGTATTTTCATAAGTTCCTAAGTTTTAGCTAAACGAGATACACTGGCCGCTGCCATCTAACCTCATCCGTCTCTGTCGGTCTCCGAACGGTAGTTATGTGATAACAAAACTGAGTATGATCCCTCTACTACATTTATACTTGTCATGTCATGTAAAACTTTTATGTATGAAGGAATATTTTGCTTATAACGATATACTGTAATGCTTAGGGAATAGGGCATATAAGGAAGGGAAAGTGAATTTATATTTTAAATTAAGGATTTTATGTCTCCTAGTAAATACATTAATTTTGAAAAATAAAAACAAATCTATCCCACGGGAACCGTACATTTTTTCGGGATAAAAAGTAGCCTATGTATTATTCTGAAGTATAAGTGTGTGAAAGAGTAACAAACATCCATACATCTATATATACATCCACACATCGAAACAACCTCACAAACTTTCGCATTTATAATATTATTAGGATTACTAATGGATGTAACCTCTTTTAACTGATAAAAATAGTGTAAATAAAGATTTGCCGCAAATTCTTCTATATGTGGTCGAAGTCACTATATACCGTCAATACAATAATACTGCTTAAGCAACTTTAAATTCACTATCAAACACATCTCCTAGATAAAATCTACTATTTACATAATACGACTAGAAAAAACTACGCTGTTTATAGCCACCATTAATCCTAGTTAGTCTGAAACATGCCCATATCTATTATCCGGACGCGGGTCAGAGTGCAAATGGGATTAAACGATAACGAACTCGTGGAATAGTGAACTGACGTTTGACGTAAATGCCCTATGACGAGCTTAATAGTTCCATTACCAACAGCTATTGGTGTACAAAAGCTCTTTGGTATTGCCAGAGCTTTTACGTAAAAATGTTTGAGTCATATGTTATTCGATAATAAAATGTAGTCAATTTGAATTAGTGAACGCAGTTTAAAATATTTTGCAAATGAAATGTCCTTCACTCGCTATTGATAGACATTAAGAATAGTTGATTAAGTATAATCAATTATGGAATTATTTTAGACTAGCGACTCACCCTGGCTACGTTCGTGTTTGTACCTAGGTTGCTTCCCTATACAAACTTTCATCCCCATTTTCATACCCTCAAGGGATGATTTACGGCATAAAAACTATCCTATGTCCTTCTCTGGGTCTCAAACTACCTTCTTACCAAATTTCATCCTAATCCTCCCAAATATGCTTGAACTTCAGCTAATCATATCCAACATTGATTAATTATTATTATTCATAAATATGGATAAATATTGTCAATTTGAGTGTGTTGGCTTAATCTTCTTTCCTGCAGCAGCTATTAATGTGTTGCAAAAAACTATTGTGAACTACATACGTAGTATAGATATGCATAATTATTTCTGTTACTACTTAATTCGAGACAACTCAGGTTCGTCACTTGACATTTCTAGATAGAAATTACTCGACATAGCGGCTGTGACAGCTTATTATACGACATATTTAAAATTTGCGCGAATATTTGTCTATTTAAATATAACTATCTTTTCGATTTATTTTGAATTTGGTTCCCGAGGTTTTGAATGCTTTACAGTAATCATGGTCTCGGGAGAGACAAACAACAACAAATAAAAACAAGAAGACTTATATGTATATTTGATTTTTTAGTAGTTTCCTTCTCCTAATACCCTGCAAAAGAAGACTGAAATATATGATATTATATAATATTTATATCTTTTTCTTTGTTCGCAGAGCATCCTCGGCGAATTCAACCGCGAACAGGACGCGTTTATCAAAGGCCAGGATAAGGGCAACGGTGCTGCCGTCCCTCCATGGGTGGGTGCGCCCAATGAAGCCGCGCTCAAAGAGGAGTGCCTCTCGCTATCCACTGTGAGTTTAGAGTAGATATCCAGTAAAAGTTTACATAATAGCTTTGTTTTGATTGTTATCAAAGGTAGATTGGTGTATGTATTTTTTTTAGATGTCGATTTTACTCATTAATTCCTTTTATTGCTCTTTTGTGATTGTTCTTATTTATAAGCGTTTGATGACTTTGTATTAGGCCCTTTTGAACGTCCCATTGTGAGCCACGAACCTCTCAAAAGAAGGGGATCAGGTCATAGATTGACGGGCTTCACATGTCTTATAAAAACTAGATAAGTACTTTTAGACATGTAGGTATTCTGACGACATTTTCCTTCCGTATGGCAAGTGAAAATCATGTTGGATATTATTTGCACATGAGAATATCAGACGCCTGGAGTTTGAAACCGCTTCGATGATTTTATTCATAGCTAATTATTATAATATGGACATGTTATGTAATAGAATAAGTTGTAAATGTATTTTTAACATTTTAGGACCGAAGGAATTTCGTGCGAGCTCCCCCAGCCGGCGTAGAGTTCGACTTCGACTACAACAAGATGTACCCGGTGGCCGTCGCCATCATGAACGAGGACCCCAATCTATCCACGATGCGCTTCGATCTCGTACCTAAAGTGTAAGTTTTGTGTTACACTAGCGATGTGAGTGACTTTGCCTGCTTTTTCGTGTTTGTGTTTTTTTTTTAATATCCTCGATAATGCTGTAATGGATTTTGTTAATTGTTTCTTCCGATTATTTATATTCCTAAACTTTAGACTATTTCCAGTTTGTCGAAAATTCCTGAAAGTTCTCTTCAAAATCGAGTTCTTTAGTTCGTACGTTTGTATGTATGTTAATTTAAATAAACCAAATTTTGTTAGAATTCTCTATTTTAAAACAGAAAATAACACTTTATTTTCAATCAGTTCTCAGTGTGTACTAGTAAATTGTACGAATTCCATCACATATATTGAAATATCATCATTCATCATTATCGGTCTGTACGTAAAATAATAAAATTTCCAGTATCACGGAGGAGAACTTCTGGAGGAACTACTTCTACCGTGTTTCTCTAATCTGCCAAGCTAATGAGGCGGACGCGGCGGGCGGCCGTCAGTCCAGCGCTGAGGATTCCCAAGGTAAGATGATGACACTCACCGGGAATCGAACTCGCACTTAGATAATGACTTTATACAACCTATATAACTTAAAAAGGTTTTTTCTGACAATGTGACTCTTAGATATGTTTTTTAATACTTTAGAGATGATGCCTGGCCTATTTCTTTTCTAACCTTTAGACACTGACTTTAGAAAAGACCGAGTAATTCAATTGGGATGTGTTTATGTTTCCATGGAATTTTGTACTGAAGATGGAATATTTAGTTTTAAAGTGTTTTTAAAATTTGTGTACCTTTTACATGAAAGACAATGTGAAGTACAGACTTTTTTTTTAATTTTTGTTCCTCAGTGGAATGGTTCAGCATTAATTTTTTAATTTACTTTAATTTTCTATTTGTAAAAATATTGTTCCAAATGTTTAATCCTAAGAATTTAAATAATGTTCTCTAAAGTCCGTGTGGTAACTAGGCTTATGCAGTGACTTTTATAGCAAACTAAATATTCCTATCCCTTCTAACTAAGCGTAAACCTCGTGCCCAAGGGATTGTAAGGAAACCCGCAAATTTACTTGGTTGATTTACATTGAAGGATGGATTTCTGTTGTTAAACTAAATGTTTTAGTATATCGATGTATATTATATTTAGTCTTACATAAACTTAATAGTATTTGTGTGTATTGAAAATTGATTAGGTCACATATCGCGGGTTCGATTACTGTATAGGGTGCTGCGGCAATTTCTTGATTTCATCTAATATGGTTAGGATGAGCTAAGTAATGAAAGATTAAAAATATTTGACCTATTTCCGAGCTTTACTTTTGGTATTTGTAGTGAATTTAATTTATATCATTACTAGCGACTCGCCCTCGCTTGGATTTGTCCGTCGTTGCTAGGTACGTTTTAACGGTTAGTATGAATATAATATGCATGTAGGTATTATACATATTATAAACTTTCCTCTTGAATCACTCTATCTATTGCTGAAAACTGCATAAAAATCCATTGCGTAATTTAAAAGATCTAAGGGTACAAACAGCGGGAGCGACTTTGTTGTATACTGTATGTATAGATTTCGAATGTTGCACATTTACGCAGGTAAGGAATGAATAAACTATGTTTACTAAAGGAATATAATTTCAAAAAAAATCATATAAATTATAATGATTACGTATATTTGAATATATCTAAGTCAAATTGTCAGATTTGAGATGAAACAAACTACGCTTAAAATCCTCTCATCAATTTTTTTTTAAGTGGCTAGAGCATTTTTTTTTGTAAATATGTATGTTATTTTTTTATCATTATTTTTTCATTTTTGGTTTTCATTTGTATTTTTACCTTACTTTAGATGTTAGTTCGTCGAGCGAGGTTGTAGGTAAAGAGAAAGCATCCCAAGATTCAATAGACGATGCGAAGAAACGAATTAAATCATTAAAAGTTGATAGAGATAATGATGATGGTAAGAATCTGTAATTTTCGATTCTAATAAAAAAAATCGTACTACTAATGTAATGTAATATATTTGTGTATGTTTGTTACTTCACGCTAAAACGACTGAACGAATTTGGATGAAATTTAGTACGAGATAGATTATGATCGGAAGTAACACATAAGCTACTGTTATTATATATTTTTTTTATGTTTTAAAAATTTGATTGAAAAACGTATACATTTTTTTAAATAGGAATTACATATTTATTAATAACTTTTATTTTTTAGTCAAGAGTTATTTTGTCTTCTTTCATTTGCTACATTTTTTTAATAATTTCATTCATTTAGCTTCTCATTATCACTCATTTTCTATAAGGTCGCGTGAATTATTTTTTAATATAAATTAACCAACTTTGAGGAATACGTTTTTTTTTTGGTTTTAAAGCATGACCATTTTATATTAAGCTCAAGCTTTTTTTATTATAAGTATGGGTAACTATTGGGAAACAAAAAGGATGTATAGTCTTTGGTATTATTGTCTTTGTGTTATAAAGACATCATATATAAAAAAGTTGTAATATAGATTAATAGCAATGTATGAATTGTCTTTGAATGTAAATATGAGAGAGTTATTGTAACTATTATTGATTAGTGCCAGTTTTATTCTTTAATTTTTATATTTTACTATTACAAATTCTTAAAGGAATTAATATATATATATATATATATATATATATATATATATATATATATATATATATATCCTTAGAAGCATTCAAAGTTAAGTGAAGTAACAAACAAATGTACAGATAATAAAGCATATTTTTTTCATTTTTGGAATGCAGCTTAAACGAGACCGGAGGGCAAGGAGCATCGGTCGCTATACGAACATAACACCTCGGTCGCTTCAAAATACTATCCACTTATACTTGATACACTAAATATTGTTATTTTCAATAAGATATCAAAAATCATCATTAATTATAGTTTGGCCGAAATCGGTTGCTGTGGATGGTATAAGGAGCTCCGCAAACGATGCTTGCACTATATGAATACTTTCCATATAAAACTGTTCCCATTTTGATAATGCCACTACAGTATTATACGCGTATTTGTCTAATATCATTTAAATGTTAAACTAAATGATGAAATGTGTCGTTTTAATACTGTGTTGTAGTAATGACTACGCTTCTTGCGTTTTGGTGTTATCAATGAAAATTTCACTGTTGATCTCTTCACGTTTACTATATGTTTTGTTTTATAGATATGTATGTATAAAATTTATGCCTAAACGCGGCCCCTTGTTTCGTTTGTCTAAAGTTTATATGTCTATGTCATATCCTCATTCTTGTTGCATCGTGTGTCGTTTAAATGTAATTGTTAAGACAATATATTGTACCTTTCTAATACTAACATTAATGTATATATATGAAATTTAATTTTTATTTCCATATCAACTATAGCTTGACTTCAGATGTCTGTGTTACGAAATAGATATTTAGAATATGGTCCTTTGTAGAAATGTTTTTCAACGTGACTCTAAATTAGTATTCATATATTATCAATTGAATATTTCAATGTAAAATGAATGTTATATATATGCATAAGGACTTAAGATCGTATCAATAGCGTCACTTTCGTAGCGAATTGTGTCAGGTTTTAACATTGCTACTTACTATTTTGAATTCTATTTCACACACCTTAAGTTTTCTTTTTGCTTGTGTTTGCAAATGTTTTTTCGTCGCCTCGTATTTCTCAAAGTTGGTTTTGTTGGAGACTGTCGTCTGTCGGGTAGCAATGTTGAAACTGTTCCCACTGTGTTGTCAGAGTTCTTTATCGTCAATAAGAAATATCAAAATTTAATCTGTTTGAATCGTTGGTGTCTTTTTTGGTTGAAAAGAAGTGATTTCTGAAATAGAAATGGAGATGATACCAGTTTACGATTAAGCTAAATTTGTATTACGAAATTAGTTTTTTGTATGATGATATTAATTTTACGAAACTGTTTTTAGTGATTGTGTAACTTGATGCGTAAGATTTGCTCGTGACATCTTCAAAGAAGGACACAAGTCAAAAATATGACACGTCGCTGATACACTATGAGTTTGCACTATAAAATTAGTTCTGCGGCATTACTTTTATCAAATTATCGCTCAATCTACGAATTTTTTTCGATTTCGTGGAAATAATGTCTGCATTATGGATTTGGAAGTTAAATTTTCTTAAAATTGATATCATGAATGCAGGTCAAAGCCACTAATTTCGTAATATAAATAGGCATTGATTACCAGAAAAGATGCCAACGACTAAGAATTTATGAATAAAATTAAAAAAATAACTATTTCAATAAATTATATAGCCGCCACATATCACTTATGGCTGACAGTCAATTAAACCAACTGCCGTCGTCATTCCGCATCTGACAACACATTTTTTTAAATTATTTACAAAATTAGACTTATTGTATGTATGTATGTATATCCGTGTTTATAATGTTGCGTAGATTTAGTTGGTGTAAGGTTATTTAAATACCTTTATAAAGGCCTAAACCTTAGCCTTTTCATTTAGCTGAACACATTCGTAGCAATAATGGGTGTTTCTTCGAAATTTTCATACTACCCTCGAAACCTTTAAAAAATTTTTTTATATATTGGCCTAAGTGTTGTAGGAAATATGACTAGCAAGTGATATAGTAGACACCAAATAGATGTCTCCTTTCTAAATGCTCAAATGTGTCTGCACTACATTAAAAGTATCAAAAAAAGTCAAAATTAAATATTTTAATGTTCAAAGTTCATTTTTAATCGTTTTGAATGTGATTCAATGATTCAACCCCGATGCTTCCGAGATTCATAACAGTTTGATTTATAATTGAATCGTTTGAACCTGCATAGTGACGGCATAGGTAACACTTTCTATCGTCAATACTTACGAAATGTTTAGTGAAATTATAACATTATAGTTATTAATGGCATTTATAGTTAGTTATTATGAATTGAAATAATTATATTATTCTAAAATAATATTGGTCTTGTTATTTTGTATCTGTAGAAAATTGATAGCCATAAAAAAACTATTAAAATAAACAACAAATACATATATTGTAATATTAAAAAGAAATGAAGTAAATCAAGATTTTTTTTATAAATAGAAGACAAAATAGCTCTACTTTCGAAGGTACTTTGATTAAATACATGTTTTAAAATTAAATTTAATACTGACTATGATATAAAATGTTACGAAATGTTACAGAACAATGGGAGAAAGAACTAGAAGCGGAACTAAATGAGTACGAGGTGGTCGCTGAAAAGAACAATGATGATAAATGGGAAAAGGAATGCGAAGACCTTTTAGGTGATGATGTCGACCTCAAGTAGACCTAAAAAGACCGAGAAGACCGCGATTCGGAAATTCTTTTACATACTAATTTAAAATAATTCTCAATTTAATTATTCATTATTTTTTCAAATGTTATTATAGCTGTTGGTGACATTGACCTAAAATCACCATTATCATTAGAATGGAGAAGACCTAGTAGACGGAAATTCGAAATGTCTCTTTTCATAGGAATTTATAATATATAAACTTAATTATTGTTCTTTTCTTCTTTATAAATATATAATTATAATTATGAATCGTTCATAAGTTTGTACATATGGTTTTTTAATATAAATGTATGTGATTGTTGTATTTTAAAATATCTTAAAAGTTCGTCTTTTCGCTTGCTTCATACATTCAATCGAAAAGCTTAGCTATATAGATATACTGTAGCTTAATTATAATTGCTGTTATACATATATTATTCTCAGATACAATATAATGATGATTAAAGAAGTATAAAAATTGAACGCTAGTATTATATTGTCTTTATCTAATATATAAATAAATATCTCGTGTCACGGTGTTTGTGGTCGCACTCCTCCGAAACGGCTCGACTGATTTTAATGATTGTTTTTGTATATTTGGTAAGTATGAGAATAGGTCGTAAAGTATTTTCCGTCCTCCTACCCCCACCCCCTATTTTTTAATCGCGATTATAGTTTTTTTGTATGAACAATATCCAAATAATTTAATATTATAATATAAAGCAAACGGTTTTTCTTCGTAGATTGAACGCGAGCGAAGCCGCGGGTTCTGCTAGTGATATTTATCAAAGTATTTAAAAATCTTTATTTTGTTGGATTTGTCTTCACCCCGAATAGCAGAATAACTATTAAAACATCGGAAAAAAAATCTATTCCATACTAAGCGTCAAAACGTACCTAGGGACGAACCTGAGTGAAGCGAGAGTGAGTTGCTAGTACCTATATAAAAGTTCCCTCAGAGTTGGAAAGTTGGCGGTGTTTCACCCCCGTGCCTCGAAGATCATGTAAAGCCGTCAGTCCTGCGCCGACACTCTCACCGGTCGTGTCGAGCAGTCGTCTCACCGGAGTATGAGAGTGAGAGGAATAGAGAGTGCACGTTGTATCTGCGCGTACACTTGGGCACTATAATATCTCCTGCGCAGTTGGCTAGTCTCAATGAGATTGGCCGCCGTGGCCGGAATCGGCTAGGAGAACATCATCATCATCATAAGTTCCCTCATTATTTAAATAAAGTGAACGACAGAATGGCAAAATCGAGAATAGTACCATAAACAGCAAATCATGATATTTTTTACTTTTGAAGTTTATTTTGGAGAACTCCGTCTATATAATTCTTTAGGCTGAGGTATATACATCCATATATGTATGAACCAGTTCAATTATTAAAAACAAAAAAAAATAAAGACAGTATAGTATTGAGCGTATGTTATTGGGGCTGTTTCAAACTGCCATATAAAGTTCGAATTTTATGATAATCAATATATTTAGTTTTTTTTATATTTTTTTATTTATACTTAATTAGTGTCTATACATGTTAAACTGATAACGCCATTATTTACGGCTAAATTTAATATTATTGTTTATATGTTTCAAATATTAATTTCACAGAAGTGTGTATGTAGTAGTTTTGTGAAATATTTAGTTTTAAACTAAAGGCTTCCTCAATGGCTTTTAAGAATATTAATTTAAATATAATATTAATTTTGATTGTAAGTATTTTTCTGTCAATATATGCGATAAAAATATATAAGTATCAATTATGTGGCATTTAAAATTATAATGTTATTTTTTTTACAAAAATGACGTTTTACTTCTAACATTATAACGTCATTTTTGTAAAAAATAAATCGTCCTATAAAATAAAATCTATACGATAAATCTTTGTCGTTTAAGCCGTTGTATACTGAAAGTTCAAATTCAATGCACCGCTAATTCTTATCCCATGTTTTAATTACACGGGTAATAACTTATTACATTCATTATTTTTTACTCAAGATCCAATAGCTTGGATAAAAGTTGAAAGCTGCTTTTATAAGAGCGTTTTCGTTTATTTCATATTTTTATAAGTTTTTTATAAGTCTGATCGTACCTAAGTCATAAAGCCTTTGTGCTCGTTAAAACAAACCAAATGAGCTTAAACATGGTGTTATTCTATGGCCAAAGAGTTTTTATGGTCGCCGCCTGACACTTATCCGATTCAAATTTATTTGAAATTCGGTATATCTAAGTGTTAGATTAAAAAAAAAATAGTTTTTCATAGTAAACTTCTATATTTAATATAAGTATTCGTTGTAATATGTATTATATGAGATTCGACAGAACTCTCGAATTAATTTATCAAAGCTTTTACTTCATTACATAATGTTATGTATTTTTTTTATTGTGATCCGTCTGAAAGCTTTCATTGATGGAGTTATCAGTTTAAAAATATTTAAATGATTATTAAATTTTAAATATATAAAGCGTTCATATGTAATGTAACTTTAAGCTACAATTGTTTACATTCCCATATGTGTGAAATAAAGTGTTTATGACGTTTTTGGAGTTTTTATTACGCAAGAATAAAATATTTTCAATTAAATTAATATTATACATATTGTTATTAGGTTTTTCTACCATTGGTTAAGAGTCTAGAGGAAAATGAAAACTATCCTATATATGTATAATAATATGTCGTGTTATCCATATTCTGCCGAAATCATCTTTAGTGGTTACTAATCTTGTGGACGTCATCAGGGCTCAAATAATAAAGTATTCAATGCTCAATACAATTTTATGAGGGAAATTCGTCGTTGAATAAAGTACTTGATACACAATCCCATGCTAAAGTTCTATTAAAACTGTCACTAATTGTGTTTAGGTAATTATTCTAATTGATATAAATATACAACAATGTAAATTGAACCTTAAATGCAATGCTTAAAGTTGTTTTCACAAAATGTAAATAAAAGCGCGCTCAAATGTTCAAACGAACGCTCATTCGGTGAGGACATTTTTTGTCGCTGATTGTGTATCTAGTACTTTTTTGATCGATGGGGAAATCACACAATGTTATAAACTTGAAACGATAATGGTAATAGTTTAATTGAGCAGCGGGTTCTCGACAACGATCATCTGACTTCCAAATACAATATCAAAAGTTAAAACGTACAACTCTCTAATGATCCGCCATGACCAACCAATGTTATGAAATAAAAATAAATTAACATTAATCAATCCACACAACTTAAACGAATGTCATAATGACTCGACCCCGCTCGAGACGTAACCTCTGCTCTTAATTTGCATTTGATTATTTATTATTGAACATAGTGACTAAACAATAATAAGGTTTTACATTCTAGCAGAAAAAGGTAACTAAATCCTCCTCTGACATATATGTAGATAAGTATCATTTGTTTATTTGTCTGTCACTGTAATATTTTCTCCAAATCTGCTGAAAGGAAAAAGATAAAATTTTGTACGTATGTAGGTACATACATATATGGGTGGAGCGAAAAAAAGTTTTTTTTTTAGCTTATTGGTATAATTTGTAACTTATAAAAAAACAAAATTTTTGATAACAAAAAAAATAATCAACATATTGAGGTGGCCGACTGATTTTTAAACTAAAAGTTGAGTAGAAAATGACTACATTCGTCAATTCTTGAACTTGATGATGACTCGAAAAAATTGTAATTGTATTGCGCTCAAACCAAAAATTTTAATTAGTAATTATTAATTTTATTCTACCCCCAAGCAAAGAAACAAGAATTAGTTTTTTTCGCTCCACCCTAGTATATGTATAGAGATAAGAATGTGAGAATATACATATGGATGATATCATCAAATTACTGATTAAACTACATCATACGAGTAATACTGTTGTATTTCCTATCTACAAGGATAATGTTATTATTAAAATATTTTTACGTTCGTCCGCATAAATTTAAAAATATATATACCTATAACTAACTATAGGTAAGGAAGTAAATTAAGTAATTTGTAATACATTGTATTTATTGTTAAAGATTTCGATGAAGAAAAAGATACGAATAATCATCTCAGCTAAAATATGTAGGCACCTAAAATATATGGCAACGCGTTCTCCTGGCTTGAATCTAAAACAAAAATTTTAACATTTTACTCATATACCAGTATACCTCACAACAGTAATGTGTTAAATAATCATATTTTCCAAACAAACATTTCTTTTGGAGATACGGTAAAAGTCCAAGCTGTACCTAAATAATCTACGAAAAAATAAAAGAATCTATGCACAACGATGATTTTTTCGATTTTTGATCAAAATAAATAAAAACAATGTAACCTTTTGAGTTGAAATTAAAATTACATTTTTAAATGTTTCAAGCATTGTTTGAAATGTAAAATTTTGTAGAGGATCAACCTTCAGGTAGACCTATTCAATAAGAAAAAATATCGATCCATAGCAGACGATGATATGTTAAAATATACAAAAAAATCCCAAAATCTTCACCTTCTCCTTTATATCTTCACCTTCTCCTTTATATGTATGTATGTATATATTCTTATATGTATGTATGTATATATTATATTCATCTATTTTTAACGTCCTACTGCTGAGCGTAGGCCTCCCACTCAATAAGAGGAGGATCAGGCCACAGCCCACCACGCTGGCCAAGTTCGAGTTGGCGGAATTGACATATCTTTCAAAAACTTGGCTCACTCACACGCAGCTAAGTAAACCAAGCGGTAATCATGTTAAAAATGATTCGCACACAAAAATATTACGAGGTGCGAGACCCGGAATAAAAACCCGCTTCGCTTGGTTTCCCAAGCAAACGCGTTATCACTGGGCCTTCATGTCTATTTTTTTCTGTCAGTAAAAAATTAAAGTATTCAAGTACACTAACTACAAACAATTTTAATCTAATGTGTTAACCTCTTTGATCAACAGTAGTAGGTATTGTTGATCGAAGGTTAACCTTGTTTATATTTATTACCAGCATTGCCCGCGGCTCCGCCCGCGTTCAGATGACCAAAAACCAAATTATTGATTAGGTAAATATAATTTACGATTCCAAAGTATTTATAGAAATTTTTCCATATTAATATGCGAAGAGAAAACTTTGCACCTCGTCAAGCCCAAAGGCGGGTTATGCGTTTTACCTGTCTATATATTGTCTATTCAACCCTTCTTAACGTTACACTGCTGGGCAAAGGCCTCCCTTCAATGCGAGGGGGATCAGGCCATTGTCCACCACGCTGGCCAAGTGCGGGTTGGCGGACTTCACATGTCTTTCGAAAACCTGTTAGATTCTCTCAGACATGTAAGTTTTCTCACGATTTTTTTCTTCACCGTAAGGTACATGAAAATATCTGAGGTGCGAGACCCGGGATTTGGCTTCACTCGGTTTCCCAAGCGAGCGCGTTGCCACTGAGCCACCACTGCCTGTTTTTTACCTGTATGTATGTATAGGTATATGTCCGATCCTGTTACCTCGTAATTCCTACACGGCGTCACCGATTCTGATGTCTCTTGGGCGTTGGTCTGCAACAAACGCCGTAGTTTACGTCCGACATGACGCTGTACGCGGCCTAGGAAAGCATCGAGAAGAACTCTTAAAATTATCTGTTCATCCATATTTTAATCACTCACGAGTCACGTCTATTTTACGAGAAACTAAAATCCTGAGTGACCATTGCAAACAACGTTGGAAGCCGCGTCCAGAACCAGCAGACGCCGGACACTATCGGACGCCACCTACAGCGTTTGTTGCAGACCAACGCCTTACGCCGTTATATATAATTAAAAATCAAAATAATGGATCTAAGGCGTCAAGGTTTTTAAGAGGTAATCACGAAAATACAAGCAACGTATATTATATTTAAAAATAATTCAGTTTAACAAGTTGTTAAATAAACCTCCTAATACCGAACTGGCCAAAACTAAAAAGATGTAAATAAAATTCAGTTATAAAAATCCAAAAACCCGACTGTGTAAAAAGCGAACTAAAAATATGAAAACAAGTTAACGAAGAAGTAGATACTGTTACCTGCTATGCAGTCGGAGGCAAATATATTTTGCAGCAAGAATGAAACATGTAATTGGTATATATCCGGTTTTTTTTTGTATATTATAGTCTAAATATTTGTTAAGGAAGGCTACGTTGCATATTATGTATCTACCTATTACCATGACAAACAACCTCCATAACGTTCAATCTTGAATTGAATGAATTATGATCGATTTTGTAGCGCTATTATAGAAACCAGATCTGTAGGATTCTTTAGGGTTGGAGTTCCGAAAAATACATTTAACATTCATTTGGTCAATAAAAAATATTCATAAATAATGCCAAAAATCGGTCAAGTGCGAGTCGGACTCGCACTCGAAGGGTTCTGTACCATCGTACAAGTATGTTTTTTTTCATTTTCGTATATTGTTTTTATTATTATGATTATTAGAAGTACCAATACCAGCATAATCATCTTTTTTTTATTTGCATGGCGGCCATTTTGGTGTTTTTATTATTTGTTGTTATAGCGGTAGTAGAAATAAACACTCTGAAAATTTCAACCCTCTACCTATTAGGGTTTATGGGATACAGCCCGCTGACACAAATGGACGGACAGCGGGGCTTAGTAATAGGGTAACCCGTTGGCAGCCTTCGGGTACGGAACCCTAATAAAAATATTCAAAACAAAACCGGTCGGTCATCTTTGACGTCAAAAGCTGCACTGCGCTATGAAGTCTCCGAAGTGATATTATAATTAAATAATTTTAATGCATACATAATCTTTTTATACAAGCAAGGTTGTATGTATGTTAACAAGTGTATCTTTTCTTAGATTTACGCGAATATCTGACATTTAACACGACACTATCTTTTTCTAAAATATAATTTTAAGGTGTTTGGGGAACAAATACATAAAATAAAACCTTGACAAAATCTAAAAGGATAATTTCATTTAATTATATAATTATTTGAAACTAATAATTTAAATTGTATGTATTAGGTAATTTAGCTGACCTACTGTTTTTAAAGTTATTGATTAACACCTAAGTTACTACGATATTTCTTTGAGATAAAGTTACTTGAGTTAGCATATTATTAGATGTAAAGATAAAACTTCATTCGCTCATTCAATAAAAAATATGTAAATATCGAACCCGTTATTTTGAAGGTGGTTAAAAAGAATCAAGCCTTATTACGCTTAACCTTATGTAGCTGTCTTACGTTAGTTATATTTTACTTGTGATAGTGTATGGAAGCTTTATAAATAATAAACTTTAAAAGTATTTTCGTGCTCAATTTTACTTTGACGTAATTTATAGATTTTTTTTTAAATATTTTATCATTGTTGTATAATAATATATTATAATAACTAGTGAAAATGTTCATAAAAAGTGGGTGTATTATTTTTGTAGGTAAGTATTTTTTTATTTTAAATAAATTTTATGCTGAATATTTTGAACCTAATTTAAAAAAATAAGTTTAATTGAGCAAAGGATTTTCACTAAAAATCTTATGTAATATTTTTAAAAATTTATTTCAAAGCAAGTTATTTTATAATTGAAGAAACATGTTTTACTAATATTATAAAGAGGTAAAGTTTGTGAGTTTGTGACGTTTTATGGGGTAATCTCTGGATCTACTGAACCGATTTAGATAAATTTGGTAAGAAGATAGTTTGAGACCCTGGGAAGGACATAGGACAGTTTTTATTCCGGAAATCATCCTTTAATGGTGGTTAAAATGGGAGTGAAAGTTTGTATAGTGAAACAACCTAGGGACAAACCCGAGCGAAGCGAGGGTGAATCGCTAGTTTTACATAAACCAAGACGGCCATAACAAACTTCATATCTTTTTTTATGGTGATACCTAAGTGCCGGTGCTAGACTCCTCACGAACTTACATAGGTACTGGCTTTTAATTTAAATTTTGAAAATGTAAAAAGTAATGATTCTAAAGTGCTCGTAAAAATCTGTTTGAATAAAGTATATTCTAATTTGATGTATACCATACGAATACATATTAAAATCCATGTAATGTTTATTAATTTTATTTAAAAAATAAATAAACATGCACTTTATGTTGATGAAAATATTGAGCTATGATAGGCTAATATCAAAATCCGTGCTTTAGTTGTGGTACAAATAAAAAGATGTCAAAACTCAAAACGTTTAGATAGAGATGTTTATAGGTATATATACATATTAATAAAATTGAAGTGTCTGTTTGTAATGTCAAAATAATAACCGTTGATTAAATAGGTACCTTTAAAAGTATATACGGTACTTATAAGAAAAGAAAAATGTTTAAAATTGTTGTCTGTCTGCCTTCCTGTTTGTTCCGGTTAACGCATTGACCGATTTTGACGGAACTTTCAGATAGCTTACGTTATAAGGAGAAATTTAGGTAACTTTTTTTTTTAAGAATTAGAGTTCCGCGCAAAAAAATTAAAACCCACGAAATTGTAAACAAAATTTGCTCACCTAGGGACCCAAACGAACTAAGGATAAGTCGCCAGTTACTACATATAATTATTAAATATTGCACACATAATAAGCTTTGAAGTACAGTGATTTTCGTCGACAATTATTACGACTGCCGGCATTGCAATTATTATCTTTCGGCCATTAGAACTGACATTGGCATAGAACGAAAATTGGTATTTCAATAAATAAATTATAACAATTGTCCGCAGCTCGGCACGCTAGTGTTACTCAATGGACCGTTATAATATATGACCCCCTTTTTATATAGGAGAGTGCAGAACGGAAAGCTCATTAAAGTATTTTACTCATTATGGAAAGTCTTATATATAATACTAGCATTGCCCGCGACACCGCCCGCATTAAGATATCCAAAAACCAAATTCTTAGGTTTTACATATCAGTTTACTCTTACGTTGCAGTTTTTGTATTTTTTCTCAGAAATGAGATATTTTCCCGCGGTAAAAAATATCCTATGTGTTGACCCGGATAACCAGCTATCACCATACCAAATTTCATCAAAATCCCACTAGTGGTTTTCCCGTGATGCGGTTACAGACAGACAGACAGACACAAAAATTCTAAAAACTATAGATTCAGCCTCTGTATCGATAATAATGCCTATTTCAATAAGATACAGATTCCACTCTGTTATAATTTTATTATATCTGTTCAGCCGTTCTGACGTAAAAGAGTAGCAAACATCCATCCAATCTCACAAACTTTCAAATTTATAATATTAAACTAGCATTGCCCGCGGCTCCGCCCGCGTTCAGATGACCAAAAAGCGAATTCTTAGGTTTTCCATGTTAGTATAGGGTACTCTTACAATGCAGTTTTTGTATTTTTACTCAGAAATGAGATATTTTCCCGCGGTAAAAAATATCCTATAAGTTGACCCGGATAACCAACTATCACCATACCAAATTTCATCAAAATCCCTCCAGTGGTTTTTCTGTGATGCGGTAACAGACAAACAGACAGACAAAAATTCTGAAAACTATAAATTCAGCCTCTGTATCGATTATAATGTCTATTTTAATTAGATTTTCCAAAAATATTTAATGTACAGATTCGACTCTGTTACAATTTTATTATATGTACCTATAGATAATATGGATTTATACAAATATCAATAAAAAATTTATACACATAATGTCATCTACTGACATTTGTTTGATTTAATTTTTGTTAAGGTCGTAATATAAAAAATAAAAGTTTTAACGTAATATTATTTCTTAGATTAAAAGTCGAATATTTAAAATAAAATAATAAAAATACTTTTCGGTATCGATTTTCGACATCCACAGCTAAAATTTATAAAGAAACAAAAGTTATACGTCAACTTTATATATATAATTCCTACATTCTGATAAGGAAAATTATTATTAGTAAATCGCATGCAGTGCACGTTCACGACACGTTTGGCTCAGTTGATAGTGATCTTACTTGCTGTGCCAGCGGTCGCGGGTTCGATTCCCGCTTTGGGCAATCGTTTGTGTGATGAGCACGAATGTTTGTACTTCATGGGTGTTTATATTTATAATATGTATGTATTTAAAGTTATGTATGTGTAGTTTATCAACTATATGGTATCCATAACACCAGCCTCGTAGCTTACCATGGAACTAGATGGCGCTGTGTGTTATTGTCCCAACATAAAAAAAAGGAGCACAACTAATAACAAATTTCCATCTATGTACTTTTAAAAATGTAAGCTCAATTAACAGATTTAAATCTCAGCTCTCACAATATGTTTTAGAAAATAACCAATTTAATAACGTTTAATATACATACATCTGTAACTATCCTATCTCGTTAACTGAGTAGTAATATTTATTTGAGTTTTTAGTTTAAAAAAAACGTACTGTAGCCCAAAAACTCCGAGCGAAGCTCAGTAGCCCAGGTACTACATATACAAGAATTGCTCTTTAAAAGATATAAGATTTAATATATTAATATATTTCTCAGTAGTGTTAGTTTTGAGCGAGTGTCAGAAGGAGCCGTCTCTACCAGTGTCGTCGGACTCTTTTTGGCCGTTCATACGTACATTTCTAGTTTCTGGTAAGTATTTATTTTTGTTTGAACTTACACATATTTTACATTTAATATTAAAGTAAATGATTTTTTTTTTAATAAGACTACCTTTTCGGATTTTTTCGCGGATTTATTTAGATTTTTGGTTCCCGACGTTTTTAAATGCTTTACAGCAATCATGGTCACGGGAGAGTCTTCCCTGATAGCTTTATTTCACGTAAATCTAAGAAAGTATTAAATGAGGTTTTGTTTATTTTAATAAACTTACTACACAGATTTTGGTAAAATTATGCGTTTATGGGTAATATGCGTTTCAGTGACTTTTGCGTATTTTTTTTGTAATCCATATTAAAGAAACTTAGACGTAACAGTTGAGCAAAAAACATTGACGTGTTTAAAAAGTAATGTTTTTTTTTTCTATAAAATAATGAATAATGATGATTATGCCAAATTAACAAATATTTAAATACACAGTAGAAAATAAACATCAAGGTTAATTTATCTATTCCCTTACACGAGTAAGTAATAGAAGATAATATTAAGATTATAAAAATAAATTTTATTAATATATTTAAATATTTTGACTATATTGAAGATGGCAAAACATCTGATCTATCCGATGAGGCTTGATGCTTGTTATATTATAATTAATTATTAATTCGTTATATATTCGAACTCTTCATGATATAATTATAAGTATTGTTTAAAAATGAAGTCGATATTTATCTTTTAAGTCTTGCCATCACGATTTACTATCCAATATTCCATCTAGTAGATACTAGATATGTATAATAAAAAGAAGGAGCGGCTGTATGGGTTTTAATGGAACTATATTAATGTACATATAATAAATAACCTATATACGAGTATATAATAAAATTGTAACTGAGCCGAATCTGTTCACTAAATATTTTTTTGGAAAATCTTATTGAAATAGACATTATTATCGATACAGAGTCCGAATCTAGGTATAGTTTTTAGATTTTTTCTGTCTGTCCGTCCGTCCGTCTGTCTGTCTATCTGTCTGTCTGTGACCGCATCATGGAAAAACTACTCGAGGGATTTTGGTGAAATGTGTATGATGATAGCTTGTTATCCGGTTAACATATAAGATGCTTTTTACTGTGGGAAAATGTTTCATCATCTCTGAGAAAACTATACTAAACGTTAAAATGTTTGTAGAAACGAACCCGAGCGGAGCAAGGGTGAGTCGCTAGTCTGCAATAAAAATATAATTATTTTATTTTAATCTGTAATTTTGATCCTAAGATATGGCATAAGCTCCCTCCTACTCTTAAAAAATATATATGATGAAATATTAACACAAGGGAGCGAAACCACACGGCAGATACTTAGTTCGTAGTATGATTGTATTAATATTTATTTATTTACATTATTTCAGTACCAAAGGGACGATCAATCAGTTTGAGTGACACGAGGATTGCTTATTACAAGTATGTATCTATTACAGTAGGTATACTATATATTATGTAAAATGTTTTTTTTTTCATTATTGTCATATAAATTAAATTTGGCTATTATCTTTAATCAACATTATGCACAGTTGTCTCAAAGTACTTACGTATTATATTTTTCAGTAATTACAATCGAATATTACCGATGTAGAATCTAAAATTATGTTTAAAAAAACTACAAACAGACTGAAGAAACATAGAGCTTCCTTTTTTTGAAGTACGTAAAAAATATTAGTACATAATATAAATATAGATATTTACTTTAAATATGATTGTTGATATTTTAAAGGAACAGTACAAAAAGCAAACAATCATATCGACTGGAAAATATTGATGCATTGCTAAAAGATAAGAGCTTTGACTTGAAGAAACCTACAGTGCTCTACATTCATGGGTAAGTTTTAAAAGCTTTTTTATTGAATAGCGACTCACCCTCGTTTCGTTTGGGTTTGTCCCTATGTATGTTTTAACGGTCTGTATGGATTAGATAGACTATGTATTATTTGATATATAGCATATAGCCTTTCTCAATAAACGGGCTGTTTAATGCAAAAAAGAATTTTTCAAATCAGGTTAGTAGTTCCTGAGATTAGCGCGCTCAAACAAACAAACTCTGTCTCTTTATAATATTAGTATGGATTAGACTATAAATATGAGAGCTAGAGCATAAAGAATTATTTATTGACGCCTGATATGGTATTCTAATTGTATGGTGAGAATGCGACGCTTTATATTAAGTACAGTTTTACTTTTATCGTATTCAACTCTCTATTATGTTATTTAAAAAAAAACTAAACAATTTTATAAAATTAATCCCTCATTTTCACTTTTTTTACAGTTACTCGGAAATCGTAACCGACGAAAGTGTGGAGTCAGTGGTACTCGCGTATCTAAAGCACGGTGGCTACAACATACTGGTGTTGGACTGGTCAAATCTTGCATTTGGGAATTATTTCGTCATTATTCTCGATATCAAGCCGGTATGTTGATTTATTAAATGAATTACTTATCCAATTAAATCGATCTGCGAATTGGATTTTTGTTTGAAATTTTATACATAAATATTTGTACTTATTTGATTTTACTTTATTAGACCATAGTTTTTCTAACTTATATAAAATATATAAATAAATAAATACATGTTGGGACATTAACACACAGCACCATCTAGTTCCATGGTAAGCTACGAGACTTGTGTTATGGATACCAGATAGTTGATACACTACACATATATAACTTTAAATACATACATATTATAAATATAAACGCCCATGACTGGAGTACAAACATTTGTGCTCATCACATAAATGATTGCCCCAGCAGGACTCGAACCCGAGACCGCTGGCACAGCAAGTTGGGTCACTACAAACTCAGCCCAACGTGTCTCTGAACTTGTAAATCTTGAGTCAAAGTTCACACAGTAAAATAGCATATAGAGTGAAGTCTGAAGTCGTTGTGAGGTCTACTAGTAATAATTATTGTAAATTAAGAGACGTTGGGCCTCTATGGGAAGAATATTTATGTTTAAAAAAAATCTAATAGACTAATATTCTCAAAGTTTTTTTTTATTGACAACACTAAAGCTTGCCAATAGCTACTAAACAAAAAAAAAGCTATTTTAAAAACATGTATGAAGCGATATTAAAAACAGACACTTCAATTTTATTTATCTGTACAGATTACTATGTCTGTATGTACGTGGAATTGGGATTGAGTAAATTTTAGTTTTGGCTTAGAATCTTCTTTCTACTGTGTTTTTTATTTGTACTTACAGATAGGTGAGGTTACTGGTACGGCTTTAGCCAAATTATTAAAAGGTGGTCTTGACGTCCGTGGCCTACATATCGTTGGTCACTCTTTAGGTGGTCAAATCGCGGCAACCACTGCGAGATATTTAGCGTCTAAAGGATATTCTGTACCTCGGTAAGAAAAAAGATTATGAAATAATAAGCCTTTAATTTTTTACTTTAAATACTAAAAAGTCATTAAAATCGGTTCCCATCAGTGATATCGCGTATCATTCAAAAATACAATTGAATAGATATTCAGACTTCAAAAAAGTCGGTTTAAACTATAATTGAAACTGTGGATGTTAAATTACGAATGTGGGTTAGCTTTAAGGTATAAAATGTATGATGCTAGTGCAAACGTGGCCTAACTAATACGAAATAACTTCAAAATATATTTTACTTAATATAATCGTTTTAACCTTTCCAGTGCCGATTATGACAACCGTCAATTTTATATTATACTAGCATTGCCTGCGGTTCCGCCCGCGTTCAGATGACTAAAAACCAAATTCTTAAGTTTTGCATATTATTATACTCTTACATTGCGGTTTTTGTATTTTTTCTCAGAAATGAGATATTTTCCCACAGTAAAAATTATCCTATATGTTAACCCGGATAACCAGCTACCATCATACTAAATTTCATCACAATCCCTCCAGTGGTTTTTCCGTGATGCGGTAACAGACAGACAGACAGACAAAAATTCTAAAAACTATAGATTCGGCCTCAGTATCGAGAATAATGTCTATTACAATAAGATTTTCCAAAAAATATTTAATGTACAGATTCGGCTTAGTTACAATTTTATTCTATGTATAGACTAATGGCTCACCCTCGCTTCGCTCGGGTTCGCCTCTAGGAAAAGAAAGAAAAACTATTCCACAAGAACCGTACATTTTTCCGGGATAAAAAGTAGTCTATATGCCTATATATCCAGACTATAATCTATCTCTGTGCTAAATTTCACCCAGATCCGTTCAGCCGCCCTGGCGTGATTTAGTAACAAACATCCAAACATCTAAATGTTGTCATTTTTAATATTAGTAAGATTTTATTTCCTAAGCGTATTGACACATAAAAAATATGTTTCTATTACACAAACCTTTCGACTAAATAGTAAACGATTATCCTTGTCCTGTTGAGTTTCTCGTCGGCTTCATACCAGAACTGCTTTCCGAGCCCTCTCACGGACTGACTACACTAACATTAAATTAAGTTGACTATTGAAATTGCTTGTAAAAGTTTAATTGAATGAAGTCTATTTTCATTCATTAATTTCCTAGCGTAACAGGTCTAGATCCAGCCTACCCAGGCTTCTACCCACCACTGGTAACAGAACCCATCAACCCGTCGGACGCACAGTTCGTGGACGTCATCCACACGAACGGCGGACAGTTCGGCACGCCCACCAGCACCGGCCACGCGGACTTCTGGCCCAATGAGGGCACTCAGCAACCCGGCTGCCCGTCCTTCTATTTACCATTGACTGTTGAAAGTGAGTATTATAATATAACTATCTTAGAAATTAGAAATATAGGTATGGATGGAATTCACCAAAAAAACTGCCATTCAAATTCAATTTCTCAATGGCTTCAAAAATACCCAGTTGTTAATGTAAAGTGCATATTTGAGAGAACCTAGCAAGATTTCGAAAGACATGCTCAGTCCGCAAACCCGCACTTGGCCAGCGTGGTGGTCTATGACCTGATCCCCCTTGTATTGAAGGGAGGCCCGTGCCCAGCGGTGGGACGTTAAAAAAGGCTAAATCAATAGTGCCATCTTTTATAACATTTTATTACTAACCTTAGATTTAAGACTTCTTATTATTCTCATCTTATTTTCTTCATATGGAATAGGCCTATGGGGAATCTGAACAAAGTGTTGATGATGCTGTGTAATCTGTGATACTTAGTAAGTATTTAACATCTGCATGTTTCGCAATATGCACACTAAAAATAAAAAATAAAATTTGTTTACAATTTTATATTTTATAACGAAACGAAATGAAAACCTTGTTTTACCCAAATTATAATTTTTAAGGTTATTTACCTTGTAGGTTAATTACAAAGGTTTATTTTGAAATATTCTCGTTTTTTCTTCAACCACAGATTTTTTTTATATTTACTCTAATTATATACACATTACATGCATTACTGTTTCTAACACTATATATTTTTTCGTATTTAGATTTGTGCAGTCACTGGCGATCGTGGCATTTCTGGGCAGAGTCGGTCGCCGGCGGAAACTTCGTTGCTAAGAAGTGTGGCAGTTATGACGATTTCCAAAGAGGAAATTGTACTATATCTGTTAAAATGGGACTTCAGGCTACTCCAGAGTAAGTTTTATAGAATTTTTGGAATTATATTGCTTGTAGTATTTTTCCTTTAGATATATTTGCATAATAGAAATGAGAATTTCATGCAGGTAGAACAAACATCACAGTTCCTTTTTACAATATAAACTAGCTTTTGCTTACGGCTTCGCTTTCATAATTTATTTATTTATAAACGGCTCCTCGCCCAAGTCAGTCTCATAGTAAAAAATGAAATAGCCTGTGGAAAATAGAAATCGGAAAATGATTTTTCCAAATATAACTGGTAATTTCAGATAAGAGAACAAACACACAACATAATAAATATTAAACGTTCTTCAGTTTTAAGTTTTATAATCTTCTTCACATCATAAAACACGGGGCACGTGCCTAGAGCCACCAGCCTCATGCTATTGCATAGTTTTTGAGATATTTGCAAAAAAATAAACCCCCTTTTTTAATTTTTAGTTAATTGTTTATAACTTTAGCAATTTTTGCAAGCGGAACTAGATTTTTTTCAAAAATCATCTACGTGCCATTCCGAATCGAATGACAGCTCGTTCACATTTTTCCGAGACTGCTGAAAAAGTTGACCTAAAAGGCACTTGTTGATTAAACTAGTCAATATTACTTACGTATTAATTAATCGATATCTTCGGTTTAAAACCCATATTAGACATGTTTGCCAATTTTAACATTTCACTTGATTTTTAATCTTTATCTTTACAGTTTGCGGGGCAATTTCTTTCTGCGGACTGCTACTGAACCACCATACGCGTTGGGAGACAGGGGTGCTTTATGATAGGCCATGATGGAAACCATAGAATTATTAACTTAAATACCCGTAGTCAGAAGTCACAGCTTTAAATAAATTATTTAATAAAAATATCTTTAAATTCAAAGACACTTGTAATAAGTCTAATTGAATAAAGTTTATTTTTATTCATAGAAGTTTTACGGCGATTACTTTTCCCTAGTGGTTGTTTTTGGTACTGGTTATCTCTGAGCTATCTATACTAAACATTAAAACGTAACGTAACAAACCCGAACGAGTCGCTAGTAAAATTATAAATTACAAGAATTTTGAGATTTATCTCCAACATTAAATAGCCTCGAGGCAATCACATCTTTTCTAATAAAAAAACAAATTATTAATAATATAAAAAAATTCAGCAATACAAAAACGTCAGTAATTTTTTAATTTACCAGAAAGTATTTTGAACATTTTTTACGGTACTTTAGTAATAAAATAAATTAATATGATGAAAATTATATGTCCTTCAAATGAATTACTGGCTTTGTGTAACTGAGTCACAGGAATAGTCTTAAAATATTTTAATTAATATTTGTAATGATTTTTTAACGGCGATAAAAGGAGGAGGTTTCCGACACATATTTTTATTGACCACGCATAACTTTTTTACCCATTTTTGGTCCCATTTAAATATGAAAAAAAAAATCCACCTTACTACTAATATGTAATAAAGTGAGTAAAAAAACACTAAAAAGTAAAAAATAACTGAACGGGGGGTTTTACTTACTATAAATACCTAATCATATATTGTGAAGTCTGTGTGCTTTGATTTTGACGGACTTCTAAAATATCTGATTAAATATATGTTCAGTATGGATCAAAGTTAGTTCTTTGACTAGACTAATATTAGTTGGTAGAAATTGTAAACTTGGATTGATAGTAGGTAAATTTTCGACCAAACGCAAAAGTGTTTTGTAAACAAAAAGTAGACAGCCGACGAGCGACCTCACTCGGTCAATTTACTTTGAAGCAAGCAAAATTCTTCTGTAAAACTGGTTTTCAGGAATATTGAGTTTTCTTTTGGTTATTAGTAATATTTATTTTGTAATTATAATTAGTCTGTTTAGGAAACAAGTCATGATACTCGTAGTTTTAAGAAAGATGATTGGGTTCTTTGCAAATAAATAATAATTTAGAAATGATTGGAGTTTTTGTTAATAAGATGTTAAAACAAAGTGGGTCCCATATTTTTATTTTATTACTGAAAAATTATCAGTAGCAGCTCATAGTTGGTAAGTTAGCGGTGTTTCACCCTCGTGCTTCGGAGAGTACGTAAAGCCGTCGGTCCTCGCCGACACTCTTATTGGGATACAAACTGAGCTTGTTTGCGTAAACACACGTACTATAATATCTTCTAAACAGTTCTCATACGGGAAGACTCTGTGAAATTGGTCGTCGTGACTGATATCAGTTGGAAGGACTTATGTATGTGGTATGTCTTATCTTATTATTTATTAATATTATAAATTTTACCCCATTAATATTATAAATGCAAAAGTTTGGATGGATGTTTGTTACTCAATCACGCTAGAATGGCTGAATTGATCTGGATGAAATTTGTCACACAGATAGATTATCGTCTGGAATAACACATAGGTTACTTTTTATCCCGGAAAAATGTATGGTTCCCGTGGGATAGATTTGTCTGTCTTGGAATGAACCCGAGCGAAGCGAGGGTGAGTCGTTAATTAGGTATATATTATTATCATTTACATCACTAGGGGGCTCAATAAATTAATCTTTTTATTGTTTTATGTATAATCTTATATCGTAATTAAGTATATATGACACTGTTATGTTACATACATTGTATTATAGGTATAACTTATTTACTTTAAACTAATTACTATTATTATCACATATATCACATTACGTCAAAATTGCTTTAGAAAATTTATTTTCATTCGGTAATTCATTTAATTTAAGTTATTTTACTAGTTCGATTTGTGTTTGTAATCAAAAAATATTTATATTTTATACCTTCTTATAAACAGTTGAAAGCGTCTTTGTCAAATACTAGCAAATCTTTTCCACATAGGAGTTGATGTAGCTATATTATACCAGAGTTGTGTCATTTTGTCCGTTTGCTAACTTCCACAAATCCCTGAGTTAGCTAAATTCGTTTTAAAGAGAACGGGAAGTGAGGACTGTTTATTAGGTATGTATCTATGGTAATTTATATTGATATTTATAAAATCTGTCGTATCTGGAAGGCTTAGGTGTCATATATTTAGATTAGATATAATGCCAATAATGGTGCCTATTGCCTATTTGTACTCAGTATTTGCACAACAATCGTAATCTGTTTTAAAATATGCAACAAATCTTCGAATCAGATTACCTGAAAACGTCAATAACGATATAAACTTAAAATAATTACACTTTGTCTTTCACTTCATTAATACTATCAGGTAATGCAGTACCCTTAGTCTCTGGCAACAAAACGCAAACTAAAGCGGCTGCGACAGGAGCCGCACCAAAAATAATAGTTGGCAGCCAAGGGATAGTCACAGACAAATCTGAGACGAAGGGAGCAACCATAGAACCTACTCTCATAAACGTGGAACATGCACCCATTCCCATATTCCTGACAACTGTTGGAAAAAGTTCTGATGTGTATATGTAAATGCAAGTGGCGACAACTGATGCACAACTAACACCTATGCATCCTAATGTTAGAGTTATCCAGAACTTGTCTGGAACGAGACCTAGTGTCAAAACACATAGGCCTCCTATTGTCAAGAATGTTATAACTGCCGTTTTGCGTCCAAAATGCCGTAGAAGCCATATTGAGAACAGGATTGATGGTAACTGGAAAAAAGTAAATAAAATTTATAATAGCATTTTGTAAAGAATAATAAACATAGCCTTTAATTTCTAAGATCTACATACATATCTAAATTAAGTATTTATATTAACTTTATAAAGCTAATTAGTTTTTGTTTGTTTATAGGCGCTAATCTCTATGCATTTGTATTTTAAATCCTACTTATTGATGAAGGTTAAGGTAAAGTCTATCTAACATCTGGCTATGAACCTTAGGAAAATGGACCAATGGTACATAAAATAAGATATTCTTATTCGTTTTTTTATGTACAATTGATCCATCTACAAAACCTAGTAATAAAATAAATTGTAAGGATTTTAGCAAAATTACTAACTATATAAGTGTGTATATGATTATGCGCTATAATTATGAAACTCTACAATTTTTTTGCGCAAATACACACGTATAATGTAAGAGCCAATTATCAGATGAGACATATTTTATTCCGCTAAAGATGACAACAACCAACCTGAATAACAGCAACAGCAGCAACAGTAATAAAAGGATCTGAACTGGTCTGACTGATGTATTGATTGAAGCCGTAGTACGTCAACCCGACGATCAGCCAGATGATGCAAGAGCATACTGTCTTTAAAAGTAATGCACTTTGGAAAAGATCCGCGTAGTTTGGTTTAGAGTTTGTAGATTGAGATTGTATGTCTTCGGACATTTTCTTCAATGTCTCCTCTACTTTTTCTGTCGGAAGGCCATTCCTGAAAAGTTAAACATCTAATGTCAATATCATATGTAATGTTTATATTACAAATTGTTTAGTTTTTTTCAGCTTTACTTGTAGTAACTTACTAATGATCTAAGTATATCAAAAAATCTAGAAAATTGATTTAATTTACTTTAAACTCTAACAATTAATTAATATGTTGTAAGAGGTTTCTTTTTCGATAACTATATAATATTATTTTTAACTCTCACATATTTATCAATGGTGAAATGAACCTAATTAAGATGTCAACACGAATTGAATGTTATGTTAAACTACTTACATTTCTGCAGCTCTCTTAACTATTTTCGTCGCTTCCTCAACTTTTCCCATAGTTATCAACCATCGTGGAGATTCTGCGAGTACAAAGAAGTACCCTAAATATATTAAAGGCGGTATCGCTAAAGCTAAACTGTAATGGTTCCAATCTCTAAAGAAATAAGCGAACAGTGGGATTGTCATGTGTCCTATTATGAAGGGTATTTGGAAAAGACATCCGCATATTTCTCGATACTTCGGTCCTATGCCCTCCATGACCATAACGAAAGAGATGACCATAGTTCCCGCAGTTGCTACTCCTTGAAAAAATCTTAGGACGGTGAAAGTTATGTAGTCTGGAGCGAAAGAGATGGCGAATCCGAATATGATGAGGGTAGTTATTGATACTAGGAATGCATTCTTTCTGCCATATCTGAAAAAGATAAAAAAACTGCTGATTTAATGTTGTTTCCAAATATTTGTCAATTTTTAGTAGTAATTCATTTGTATGTTTATATTCATTTGGTAAGTGGGGAAGTATAATAATATCATATTAATTTTTATACAATTGTTATTCCAGTACTTTTATAAGACTCGTCGACAAAGGAGACTCCAAAAAGAAAGGCCTAGAACAATTTGAAAAACGTTGAAAATATTTTGCCTATAAGTAATACCTAAAATTTAAAGGTAAGCATGTTTTATAATAACGACCAAAACAAAGATATTTTTAAATTTTATCTATGAGGAGCTTTCGTTATTGACTTCGATATGAAATAGCTATCACAGATGTATATTTTAAATATTTTACATTTAATCAAAAAATTACGTGAGTTACAATAACAAAAATTTTATGTATCTTCTTATAGATCCGTAGATGTGCGAATCGTGAGAAATCATAATGCGCTTGCAATCAACCAATCTTGCGCTTGTCCAATTTTAAAACATAATAAGCAGAGCCAATTCAATTTTACGATTAAAGAACAATTAAAATAGATATTAAAGTATGATAGATTTTTTTTGTTATGGACATTAGGTCAGGTGGTACCAGAACGTGTAGCAATTTTTTTTTTTTTCGGACACTATACATGTTGGGAAAAATAAACAAAAACTAAAATACCGGATTGTTTTCCTGCATTATTTTTTGCGTTCGAGACTAAACAGAATATTATAGATAACATCGATAATTTTCAAATTCGGTATGTAAATATGTGTCCTATGGACTCCTAATTTTTGGCGATTTTATGAAATTTTCATGCAATTTTCTGATTAGCCCAGCGGGTGATCCTGTGAAGTTTGGTAAAGGTCGGAAGTTTGAATACGGGCGAAGTCGCGGGTACTGCTAGTTATAAATAAACGTAATATAATATTTAATTAACCATTGTGCATTATTTTAGCAAAAACATGCACAAGACATATTCGGGTAATCCCTAAGTTTGAAGTTAAAAAAAAACCGACTCTAAAAAAGATAATAGCTACAAAGTCAAATAAGTGGGTTAGATCATAGATCACATGATTGAATTGCTTGTATTTAACTATAATAGTTTAAAATATTATTAGGCGCTTTATTATTATTCTTTGTGAACATTTGGACTGATATTTTTATAACGGTCAAGTTCAATTCAATTCAATTTTTTTGTTAATAGTTAAAGTTATGTTTCAATAGTTTTATGCGTTACAAATATATATTTAAAGACAATTAAAGTTTGAATAGATATGGCTTGGGTCATCAGAGAAAGAAAAAAATGATGTGTATCGATTGTTATTGAAGTTTGTAATATAAATAAAAGATGTAAAGGAATACGAAATAATGCGCTAGTAATTTTACGATTATTGAAAAATCAGCAATCAGGTATCGGGTTTGTAGTGCATATTCACAGATGGCGCTTTTGCTTTTTATGAGCTGTTTACCACGGTTAAAAACCTGTTAATGTCACTGATTTAAAATTAAATTCACGATGAATATTTATTATATTTTAATTTTTCATCTATCACTACATATATTCCCCGCCGCGTCTGTCTGCCTGTCTGTCTGCACGCGTAAATTCAAAAACTATCAAACGGATTTTCATACGGCTTTCAGCAATAGATGGAGGAAGGGTTAGGTGTATAATTCATTAAAAATTTGTATAAATTGGCAAAAATATGACGATGATTGTTGATGATGTTCGAAATAATCATGCCGACTGAAAACTATATTATAACAATGTATCACAGAATTATTAGTCTTAAAAAGAACTTCCTTAATAGGAACTGTAGCAACATTAAGTGCACGTACCTAGGGACACACCCGAGCAAAGCGAGGTTAAGTCACTAGTCCATAAAAAAACCGTTTGACCATTTGTGGTTTAACGACATCTATTAATTACATATTCAAGCAATCAAAAATAGCCTGAAGAATAGCCGGAATGGGGCATTTGGTAAATGTTATTTATCATAGTTAATTACTATGAGATATGTTGAATATGCCAAGAACAGTAATGCATTTTTAATATGTGACTTAAAAAAATATTCAACTCAATATTGACCCGTTATATCTTATATACTTTTAATGTACATTAAAATGATTAATTTTTAAGAAGGAAATTGAATTGAACCTTATTGAATTTACAGAATGGAATTGCTCAGAAGAAATTAATAGGAGCCAGAAGAATGTGTTTGAGAAAGGCCGACTCGATTACCCACCTGTCAGACAGAAATCCAAACAAGATGCTGCCCAGCAAGATTCCAAACTGTAAGACCATCTGCGTAAAGCTCGTCAGCCAACTCCTGCCGCATACGAGATCCCACTCCGATATTATAGTGTTTCCAAACGGCGACGTATCGTACTCATATTCTAGACAATCCTCATAACATTTCATACTCTCTCCAGTTATACTTGAATTTTTGAAGGTTTTGCACCAAAAAATCAACTTTGGAGTCAGAAATATTATAGTCATCTGCACCCATCCCGAAGACAGCTTTACTAAGGAGATTGTTAGAAGCAATATGCATTGCCACTTGCCAAACTGACCAATCAAATTGGCTAAGCCATCCTCCTTCTTGATTTGAGGCGCTTGGGATATTATTTTATGGACCATTTTGTGTTTTGCGCAACTATCGAATCATCTTTAATCTGTAAAGATTTATAATAATCATGTATTTACATTATTTTTATAAAAACTTAAAAAATAACTCCTAGAAGAAACATGTTATTAGGATCTGTTGATTTCACTATCATAAAAACGGATAAACGATTCAGTATATACCTAGTACCTACTGTCTTAAAAATAATAATAAAAAATAGCATAGTGCGAGTTAGAGTAGCCATTGGGATTAGAGGTTTTCGGGTTTCATGCAAGTAATTTATTTTTATTTATTTATTTTTGGGAAATAAAAAGTATTTAAAACACTTACAGAAAATACACTAATAAATATCTTGTTAATGAGCAGTCAGAAAAGAGGAAAAAAGCAGCAACAAATAACCTTACAAAAAAACTAATTACTGACCTAAATGAATTTATAAATACAGACTTATTTTCTAATATTTTTTTAAACTATGTGATCGAGCAAGTATGCAAATCAATATTAGTCAATTTATGCATTATACTTATTACAAGCCCGAAATGTAAAAGTATTTCGAACATATTTAGTTCTTGTTGGTGGGATATAACACAATGACTTATTTGTAGTGCTGACCTTATATCATTTGAAGTAAATATTTCTTAACAAAAATGGGTAGTCTATAAGAATCTATACTAATATTATAAAGAGTCAGAGTTTGTTTGTTTGTTTGTTTGTTTGTTTGTTTGTTTGTTTGTTTGTTTGTTTGTTTGTTTGTTTGTTTGAACGCGCTAATCTCAGGTACTACTAATCTGATTTGATTTTTTTTTGCATTAGATAACCCGTTTACTGAGAAAGGATATAGGCTATATATCATCCCGGGAAAATGTACCGTTCCCGTGGGATAGATTTAGTTTTTGTCTAGAGACGAACCTAGTCGCTAGTTTTGTATAAAAATTAAAAATGTTATATCTCACTCTGTTCGACGACTTTGAAATATGGATAGGAAAAGTGTGATCAATGATCACGGTAAGGATATCTATATTTAAGATGTTTTATGAATTTATATAAAAGATCCTTCACACGTGTTCTATAAAATGGATTCCAAATAATTGAACCATATTCATAGTGACCCTATTTTGTGAATACATAGCACGAATACATATCGATCTAACCTAATCTAGATCATTATTTTTGAAGTTATACTTTTTTTGGTACAGTGGTGACAAACGGTATGAAATCTTTAGCTTTTTTTATTCAGTTAGGCCAAAGAAATATAACTTCTTACGCGCGTACATAACTACACACACAAGTTTTTTAATACTATTCTCTTACAGTTTCTATTTAGAAAACTTTAAAAAAAATTGTTCGATATGACCGTCTTCAACTGGTGGGCTGTATATTACTTAACACTATTTCCCACATACACAGGTTGGCTGGAAGAGATCTCTTATAGAGATAAGTCCACCTTTGTCCACGTTTTCTATGTACATATTTTAGTTTTTTCTTGAATATTTTAAGTGCAATAAAGAATATACGTTTGTCAAAGGCACTATATTTTAAAATTTATGAGTTGAGAGTTGCCCTTTTATGGAAACTTATTTGAAGTCAAGGGTAACAACTAACACGAAGAAATATCAAAATGATGGCCGCGCTTACGTTTTAGTGCCTATAGTAGGCCACCAAGGATTTTTAAATACTTACATGTAAATGCTAAAATATCTATTTACATTCATCAGAATATTCAATTTAATGTTTTGAAACATTGTAAATTCTTTAATGTAGCTGCAGTTTTCAAGTTTGCTTTATTTCAATCGTTTCACATATAAAAAGTTATGTCGTTTTATAGAATCACCTAGGGACGAATGCGAGCGAAGCGACTATGGTGAGTCACTAGTAGGTATAATATGTCTAATTAGTTATTATTAGAGTTGGTAATGGGTATATTACAGTAAAATACTCCTCTTTTTTTTATAATTGGTTATGAAATATTATCGATATCGATCTCGATATATCTGTAGATCAGCTGTCAGCTTAATTAACAGTATTACATGAACCTAGTTCGTGTAATACAGTTAAAAAATTATATATTTCATCACCTCGGTCATGTACCTCTACAGGGACCTCTGTACACAATTGTTAGGTTGTATACACAATACGTTTTTTTAAACACCGCGCCGGCCACGCGCGTATCATGAATGAACGTCATCTGCGCGTGTTCTGCAGAGATAAATAAAAAATATATTTTTTTAGAAACAAGTTTTTATAGGTTTATTTTCTTAATTTTAGCGCTTTAAAAGCTTTTTTTGCTATTAATTTGTGTATATGTGTTTTTTTTTAGTTTACACGTCATGGTGTGGGTGTCCTATTTAACTCAACTCAATTAAAAATGAATGCGTCTTCTTTCGTGTCTGTACTGTTAACCGTTGAAAAGTTGCTTCGTCTGAAGCCAATCTTAAATGGAGAATCAGGTTAAAGTTATCATGAAAAGTCATTGTCATCGGATTGAACCAACATGTGACATTTCAACGCTGTAGGATAAGAGGAGGTGATTTTAATTCAGCTTGCAAGATTTGATCCATACAAATATATATTGCAAGTAAATAAAAGCATGTTTTTACATTTTATAACAAAAATGTTTATAGCAATTTTTTAACTGTATTTTTATACAGTTAAAAAATTGCAGTGTAAATAGGTCCTTAGTCCAATTAAATGATTGATAATCGTAAGACTAGATATCAGTTTTTGCAAAAGATAAGTGCATTTATTCAATACTAGCGGCTCACCCTCGCTTCGCTCGGGTTCGTCGCTAGGTACGTTTTAAATAGATATAAAAAAAAAAATCTTTCTTTCTCACATTTTAATTATATGTTTTAATACTTACCTATTCCGGACTAAGAGAAATCCAAAAATTAAAATATCATAAAAATTTGAACGCGGTCGAACGGGATAAAAAGTATCCTATGTCCTTCTCCTGGCTCTAAACTACCTCCCTGCCAATTTTCAGCTAAATCGGTTCAGCCGTTCTTGAGTTATAAGCGAAGTAACTAACACGACTTTCTTTTATATATATATAGATTACAGATAAAAGTAACTGTCTGTTAGATAATTTTTCATTAATTCACTGAACTTTCGATGAAGTATCAAGGACAAACATTCATACTTAATATTATGTATGTGAAAGTATGTTGGTTTGTTTGTCCTTTTTTGTGTGTTAGTAGTTGGAGGGCTGTAGAGTGACATAGATTACTTTTTTCCGCGGGAGATAATTTAATTCTTACGGGAAAACACGATCGTACGATCCAAAAAATATTTATGATCAGAATTACTTTAAATTTGGTGTTAATGCTCTTCAATAAAATTAAATAAATACGTGTTTTAGTATTTTTCGAACTTTTACGAAACTAGGTACCTTTAAGATATTTTTTGTAGTTTTAGCGCGAGCGAAGCCGCGGGTTCTGCTAGTATATTATATGTATGAATTAAGGCTGTGAGAACCCAACGATAACGCGCTCGTTTGGGAAACCAATTGAAGCGACATGGACTCAGGTTACCTTTTATCTCCGCACCGCTTACAATGCGAAAGGAAATGAACCGCGATCAAAAAGAAGCATACGATGTTATTGTGAGTTTATTAATCTACTCTTCTTTAGCAGAAATGTTTGTTTTTGATCTGTATTTTTGTTTAAAAAAGGATCTCTATGCAGAAAGACAGGTCAATGCCTAAGAAAGATTATAGGTAGGCAGGAGATTTTAGTTTACTTTATAACCAGGTAAATTAAGCTGTTCAAGGAGATATTAGGTTCTAGCAAAAAGCTTTTTCTGGGTGTACGTTTAGTTTTTATGTAAGTACTTAACAATATTTTGGTTTGATTTTAACGATTCTAATATTGTGATTGTGCGGTCTTGCTAACATTTAAGGGTCATGAAATAATTCATATAATATATTTTTTATATTAAAATTGTACCAACATATAAAAAAAAGTCTGAGGACCCCATGATGTGCGTATATGAAGAGGTTGATAACGATGGAAAAAGAGAAAGAGATATGTAGAGATCGGCGCTTGATACTCTTTGCTTTCTTCGCAAAGGATATAGAAAATATGTTTGTGCGTTACCATCAAAAAAGAATCGCGTGATTTTTTCTAAATTTCACAATTTACAAACATTGAACACCTCGCAAATTTTTAACAATGGATACATAACAACACTTGTTTTATTTTCTATACATAGGCATCCCAAGATTAAAAAAACTAAATAAGCAACTGAGCAAAAAAGGTGTTTGTTGCAAAATAATAAAAAACGACTAGGCCTCCATAATTCGTCATTCATAGCAAACGATTTCTAAATATCCTTTTTGGATTGATATATTTAATTCCACGGTTACATTTTGTTCTTTAACTAGCTCTTGACCCGCGTTGCCTAATCAATATATGTACGTATACAAATATAGCCTACGATTTCGTCATACATGAGAGCATTGCATTACAAATCAAAGTGCTATTAATGGAAGTTATCATTTTCTATAGAAATCGTGGGTTAAGCAACGTTTTGAAGTGAAAGAATTTCGAAGGGGCGTTAAAAATATAATCATCTAAAATTTTGAGTAACTATTACATTATGACTTTTATTCAACCCTTTTTAACGTCCCACTGCTGGGGGTGGCCTCCCTCCAATACGAGGGGGATCAGGCCATAGTCCACCACGCTGGCCATGTGCGGGTTGGCGGACTTCACTTGTCTTTCGAAAACTTGCTAGGTTCTCTTAGATATGCAGGTTTCCTCACGATCTTTTCCTTCACCGTAAGGCAAGTGGTAATCATGTTCGAAATTATTCGCACATGAAAATATCACAGGTGCGAGACCTGGGATTTGAAGCCGCTTCACTCGGTTTCCCAAGCGAGCGCGTTACCACTGGGCTACCACTGCTCATTATGGCTTATTACTTTGTTTTTTTTTTAAAAATCCGGTCAAGTGTTTGCTTGGTATGCGCCATGGCTTCTACGTTCATTAGGTTGTCAATTATCCTTTCTTCAAAG